GAAAGAGATACATAGCAAAGATCGAAACTCGATCGAATGCGTCACGTTTGCCATGTCGATCCGGCGTTCCGAAAACACGATGTAACACGGTCGAACACTCGAAAATATCGTCTCCAGGCAGTAGCGATGATTAATGATCGGTGATAACCGCGCTGGTTAATACCGCGTCCCTATTATCGTAGAAGTGTTTATAGCATCGGTAAACGTGAATCGAACGCGGCAGTATGTAAATCGCGCATATAACATGGCGTACAGGGGGAGCTACACTGGGGAGTGTTCGCGCACGTGTGTAACGTCGAATATTCGGGAAAGGAGGTGGGGGGACTGTTACGAGCGGTACAAACGATGTTTAGTCGCCGAGCAATATACTAATGGTATGTACATAGAAATATAGAGAAACGAATACACACCGAGTATATTTACAATGAATTAACGGGGGCGTTAATGCAAAATCCCCGGGACTACTCGCCATTAGTTTAAACAGATTTCCAGCGCGCCGCGACCTCGCATCTACATAACCGGGACACAGAGGGCGCGGCAAAATTAAACACTCCTCGTCGAAAACTGAACCACATTATCTCGAGCTGGCGGCCCACTCGAATCCTCTTCGACGAATTTTCTGGCGAACCGATCTCACGATTTGATAATTAATAAGGTCAGAATGGGTAGTAATTATGTTAGATATCAATGTAATTTTTGTGTACATATTAGTGCAAATATTATAGTATAAATATTCGTTGTTGTAAAAATTGATGAGGGTAAACTTAGAATGATTATAGGATTGAGTTATGAAGTTGAAGATTATTAAAAACAGAAATATATGAGAGATGTTTGCATATTATCCTCCTTAGTTCAGTATTTAAATATCTTAATTGTTGACAAGTTATTGGTCGAGAAATTGACATCCTTTGGTAACATCTATATGAGGTGTTTCTCTTATACTGAATACTCAAATTATTATTTCAGTTCTTGATAAAAATATCAAAAAGTCCAGAAAGCAAATTTATGTGTTATCTAATAATAACAACAATTCCTTCAAAATTACCTTCAAGATCACTACAAAATCATAGACAATCTGTTGAATGTTGACAAGTAAATGGAGTTCACATCGTGATTCTAAATAATTAAATATCAAATCAATTTGGATAACTTGGACAAACTTCTGAATAATACCGATTATATAAAAACACCAAAAACGGTAAAATTTCTGTTCTGAGTTACTAAAAAATTTATATCTATCTATAGCAAGCATATTAATCAACTTTTAGAAATTCACGTTCACGTTCAGTCATAAAATAATCCCCAAGGAACTCTAGACACTATTCCATCTTAATCGGAGATCTATTTTCACGACATTCTCAGGCGATCCGTTTTCTCACGGCGTTTCCTCGTTCGTGGATGACGAATTAAATAGTAATCAGTTTTAATAAATTCATTCAACCCCCACCCCCGTACAGCCCCTGTTCGTCGAACACGACTGCTCGACTTCCTGCTCTGGCTCGCCGGAGATTTTATCTTTCTCAAACTTTCATAACTAGCGGCTGCATTGGTAATGTATCTTCGAGGATTCAATAAAGCACGAAGGGCTGCGGAAATAATGAGGAACGCTGCCGACGCGTGCACTTCGTCAGCCGTTCCCTAATTAATTCCGAGTAATCGCGTAGGAGTTTAATCCGATGCGTCAGCGATCGGCATGCGCGAACACAGCGTAAGGGTTGTTCACCGTGCAATATTGCGATACTGAATGTTCCTTTGTGGCTCACGTGCACTCGTGTTCATAAGTCATCAGACTTGGTACGCTAAGGGTACGGATAAACGAGACTTCAACGAAATTTCGCGAGCGCTACGGTTAGTTTCCCTATCTATAGTCGTAGTTTCCATACAGGTGCTCGAATACCTTACTGATACAGTACCCGATTGGCTATTCTTTTATAAATTTAATCTGTAAATAGAGGTAACCCAAATCTCGGACGCGATATTAGAAGAGGTATTGAGTCGAAAATTCCAATCGTATTGAAATATATCGAAACATTACATGCAACACGGTACTTACCCGAATACTTTTCTGTCTGCATCTGTTCGCCTGGCACGGCGAAATTTCCCGTGGCATTCGGTGGACAGCCATTTCGATTTTGCTGCGTACGCAGAGTGTGAGTTGCGTGCAGAGATGGGCCACGAGGTGGCACTTCCGGTGGCGCTGGCTCCGGCGGTGAATCCCTACCAGTGTCTGTAAAAGATGGAGGAAAAATGTGAGTCATGGCGTTTCATCGTGTTAAAGTATCGTACATTTTATTCGTGCGTTTGCGTTTAAATCATGCATTCCTCCTAAATTGTACACTGTGTCCAATCTTAGAATCATTTTCGATTGTAACTTAAGTATTGCGATGATACAGGAAGATAAATTTACACGTAAACATTTTCGTAATTATCTTAAGCGATTGTTGTTTATTTAAATTCCAGTCGAAATCACGTTCATAATGAAATAATAAATTAATAATAGATTATTAACGAATACTGTTAAATTAAATCACTACATATCACTAAAATTGCTATTAACGTGAAGATTTAATATGGAAATTTGTATGAGTCTAATTTCACACTTGAATTGCCTTGATTTTGTAAACGTCGAGCCATGTTTTTCAATTTTAGTGAAAAATAAACAGCAGCTACATTTCCTTTAGCGTCTCGTCCATCGATAGTTGAAATATACGAGGCTAGTTCAGATTAATTTCGCTTGGTGGTATTATCAGTCGCTGAGGTACTACTAGCGCCATTTCGTCAATTACTCGTAAACGCAGCCATTAGAATGATTGTATTCGCCATTTTCCAGGTAAAGATACATGAATTACTTGGACTCAAATAATTAGAGGCACGTAACGCTATTAACCTTTAAATTACACATAGTTTATACTAAATGATGCGGAAGATTACATCGACCAACGAGGTCGGAAATAGCAGTGCGATAAGATTGGAAGGAGACCGCCCATGGAACGCATACCATGCTAGAATTGCTTGTCAATGGGGGCACCGATGCACGAACCACCATAGGAGAGACACGTCTTCATCCACGCGTGACGCACAACGTTTATTTCACGGATGAATTATTGCATATATCGGCACAATTATATGAAAGTCCATTCTCTCTCATTTGACCCCTTATCCATGTTCACGTGGTACCACGATTACCGCCCAGTGGAAACGCGAGCAATTAAACAGTATCAATGACTAGCCCTTTCCTAATTACATTTTACGCATGCGGGTACTGGATGTATTTTACACGGGGCCATAATCCGATCGGTATACCAAGGAAAATTGGGAGAAAAGTGGTAAACAACGAAGCTTTAACGGTAACCACGATGGCAAAAAATTTGGATGATTTTAAATGTTTCGACAACATTCCAGGATACTTACATAAACAAACAGATCGAAAACAAATAAACAAGCCGAACATGTACACGAACAAACGAAAAAGTGCAAACGAAGTAAAAACATAAGCAAACATACTGAAAAATGGCAAACAAATAACCTGAAACTCTGAGCAAAATATGCATATAAGTAAACAAACAGAAAATGTAAAATGTAACCATGCATTCAAATATTTCCACCAGCCTTTCTCTTTTGCATTTGTTAAACCCTTGTTTTGCATCAGCAGTGTAATTTTTCTGCTAACTTGTTAATTTCTAATTAACTCGGTACCAATAGTTTTATATCCGAATTTAAAGATATGAAAATTCGTTTCGATCTAATTTCTAATGAAACTTTTTCTTGTGAAATAGACATTTATAACTTCTAACGAATGAAGTGTTGTATTGAAGTGAATTTCTGTATCATGGAATCGTTCACAGCAAACATGGGATAAAATAATAAAATGTACAACACCCAAAGCATACTTTCTTTATAATTATTACTGCTCGAATTTAGAAACTGTAAAAATTTAACAGCATTAAAGGAAACGTATGAGTTCTTCAGTATCTTGGATATGTACGACGTACTAGAATAATAAATTGCACTCTAGGAAGCAGTCGTAAGTTCTTTCAGTCACTGCAGTACTATTTTCGAATCCCCTTAACATGATGAAAACACATACACAATTATAATTCATATAAAAACCAGAAATTTCGAACTACTGTGTAAAACTAAATCGATTGGCAAGAAATCAGAATTTATATAGCGTGAAACACTTTTCCCGTACATTAATTATCATTAAAAATAATTAGAAACTGTTTTTACTAAGCAGACAGCGCCAACTCGATATGTTTACAGAAACAAACTAACCTCAAAACTGCGACAGATATAAGCAGCTAGAGACAACACTGTACCTTATTCAGAAAGATACACACATGCAACGAGTCTGTATTATTCGAAAGTACGTTACCCAAGACATAGAGTTCACGCAATTCTATTTCGGATGAATCGTAGAAAAAGTTGGATACATATTTCGCTATGAAACCTAACCTATACGTTAATAACCTATCAAATCAATTTCGATGAAAGCTTGTCTGTTTTACCGTCATTGTCGTGAAAACGGAAGAAAGAGATCGAGACGTTCAATTCCGTTTTAAATGTAAACGCTTATTACGGTGTTTAAAGCAGCGACGGTAATTCTAAAAATTTTTCATTTCCGGCCAGGGTGCGCAGTTCCGGCCCTTAGGGCTCCGCGTTGCGGGCATTCCGTAGTCGAGTTGCTTATAAAGTTATTCAAACTTGTAAGGAACTCTTCTCGACGAATAATTAAAGTTACCTAAATGCAAAGGGCACAAAAGAAGGGCTGCCAGGCATGCTGCGAGCAACACGACCGTTCAGGCACGTATTCATGAAACCGCACGCCCCGGGTCGGGTCGCGTACACGTACCAGAAAAATAAACACTTCGTCGTAACCGTTTTTGTCGAGACTGTGAACGGTACCGAATTAAATTTCGAAAAAAGTCGATGGCCGCTGTTTATCTTCCCAATGAATATGCGGACACACTTTGTAGCAGTTAGGTCGATAACGTAATTCAATGAAGGTTAGAGATTGATCAAATCAAATGATAGACGACTGTTGGATATTACTCTGTTATAGACGTGAATCTTTTTCTTTCATGAAATTCAACAATTTTGAAAAATGCAAAGAAACTTTGAGATACTTGTATCAAAAATATAACGATTCATAAAACGTTTTGCGTTTGGTTTGAGAATCTTCGAAGGAAGAGGCATAATGAGATAGAAATAAAATAGTCACTCAAAGCTATTACTCAACATGCCATATCTTAATAATCCTACTAATTCAAACATATTTATAATATAAACATCATTTTAAATTACAGACTATCCCAATTATCTTTAAACTATTCTTCCGCAATTTATTCTTCGTAACTCGAATATTTAAAACGAATAATCATATTTCTTGTTAAAAATATAATCTTCAGAAACTCTACACAATAAAAAGCTTGCAATGCGCGCAGGCAGAAAGCTACGAGCTTTGTTATTCGTTATATCGAATTAACAAGTTTCAGGAAAATTAATCGTACTTATCTCGTGCAAATTGCAATTTGTAAACAGATCCGTGTATCTTGTAAGAACACGCGAGGATAATAGGAACTGCCGGCAATAAGGGACGATGACGCGGCAAATCGATAGCGCGTTAAGCATATATATAATTGGTGCAATGTATAACCATTACGGGTTGTTAATGTTACAGGGCGCATTATTGTAAATCAAGGTTAACTGCAATACGGTGGTTTATTACGCTTTCGCGAAGCTGTGTAACTTGGTTTGCGGCAACTCCGACGCTGGATAATGGAATTTCGCTCTTCGGCCATCTGGATTAAAATCTATTAACTTAGCGATCGCAACTTGCTTCAGTTTCCACTGCAATTGTACATGCATATGCACATAGACGCTTACGAAACTCATCTAAAAATGAAACCCGATATTAATTAATTTTACCGAATGTATAATCATCGTTAAGAATTCTTGTCGGCCTTTCCAGTAGATTCCTAGATGGCTCAACAGCACCACCCATCGCGTTAGTTCTAACTAATTTACGCTTCAACGATTATCGAGAAATGTATCGAAATCCTCCGCTATTTTAAACTAACAGGTTAAGAAAGATGTAAGGAATTGCAAAATTAAAGTAAGTAAGTGATGCGATTAGGAGCATTCAATGATGGGACCAATTCCTGTAGTAGGTATATGCACTCGTAAAATGTAACAAAGAATTTCAAACACTACTTCGAATCCGTAGTGTGATCTGTAATTTGGAAATAAAGAATTCGAACTAAAGGAAAATAACATCTATACTGTAAATATTGAATGAAATTGTTGGAAAAAGAACATTTTATTCTTTAATATAGTAAAAAAAAGAAACACGAAGTTTTTAAATATACTTAATACTCCGCAAGCAAAATGGGTTTAAAAGTCTACGTACAAATCTGACATGACGTGCATGTACATGTATATATGTATATGTACGAATAAAAAATTTCGAATGAGACACCTTCTGGTCTTAAAAGCTTTTATATATTTACTGCACTGTTCGAGGATTTCTAGGATTCTGAAACCATGTTCTACGAAGCTTCTTCTCAACTCCCAAACCGTGTTATAGAAGTACCGTGTTAAACAAGGGTTACATGTTCATACACACATATATATGGCAGGAAATAAAATAAAATTAAATTTAGAAAACTATATTAAAATAAAATTCGTGTCTAAAAAAGGGATATATCGTTCATATAGGTGTTCTACTCGTAAAACGCTCGTTTCTAATGATTTTTCAGAAAAGACCCTGCATAAATATCTATGGTGCAAAATTTATAATAACATTAAAAAGTGATAAATGATATATCCCCGAAAAATTTGATTAAAAATCTGGTTATTAGTATGTTTTACGGATTGTGGTGGTATGAACATTTGGACATGCATGGGATGACCACTGGGCAGTTCCATCTTTTGTCGGTAATTAAATAGTTATACTTTAAATAAATAAAATAAATAAAATTGTTTCAATTAGTTTTTGACTGAAAGAAAACGTTTTCTGATGCAAATAGCTCTTTTAATAAAATGTGTGTGTGTAGATAATTGTGTGCACTGTTATTATAAATTACCAGAAGAAAGAAATTTGCAATAAAAATTAATAATTATTGATTATATATCAGTCGAAACCGTTTGCAAATTTCGGTTAGCAGAATTTCAGTTTGACCTGGACCAAGGTTACAGGCTGGGTTATAAAAGGACCCCCATGACACAGCAGTAGTAAGTTGTCCTTCGTCCGTTGCGAAGCGAACATTAATTATTCCGGGTCAAATATTCCGTTAACATAATTTCTAAACCTTGTTTAACAATTCTGATTATTAATATCATTTAATTTATTAACTTATTTTATTAATTTATTTTTACTTATTAATTTATTTCCATTTATTAATTTAATTTCACTTATTAATTTATTCTTACTTATTAATTTATTTTCATCTATTAATTTATTTTTATTTCTTAATTTCTTTCACTTATTAATTCATTTTTGTTCATTAATTTATTTTTACTAATAATTTAAAGATAATATATTGCAAACAAAAATTAAAAAATTAAATTAATAAATAAAAATAAATTAATAAATGAAAATAAATTTAAAGGTGTTATAAGTGTTGATAATTTTTACAAGAATTAATTTATTACTCTAACAAAATCTAATGATTTACATTCTCGTTCGTTCGGTTTCTCATATATATTTTTACTCGACATCGTCCGAAGTAAGTTAGTCCACATATCCGCGACTTCGCGAGTGTGTGTGTGTGTGAGTGTGGAAGAAATATCAATAAACGAAGAGGAGCCACAGTCAACGCGAACATCGCCAAGCTGAAGAACAAGAACAACTCATCACGCTGGTGGCAGATCGTGGCCAATTTCCAATATCGAGCTATTCCACTAGGGTAAAGCGATCAACGTATGGTGAGTCGCATGTTTTTCTATTCCTTTGGTCGCTTACCATGTCGTAGGACGAATGGTCAAAGCAATGTACTATGCGTTGCAAGCAAGAAGTCCCCTGCTTTAGCACAGGGGAAAGGGTGATATTCCACTCGCCCCAACTGATACATTCGCACGTAGTCCCAACCCTTATATGACGTTACCGAAACCATTATTTTGTCACACGGTGGTGTATGGTCAGGCTAATAGTGGGGGTTGGTAGGAATTCGGTCCAACATTTTGTAACGCACAGCACTTTATTATATTGCTAGAGAGCATAGTAACCACAAGTACGAATGTGCCAATGTACATTGTTTTCTGTATTTTATTTCAAATGAAACATACGTATGTTTCATACATGTATGCAAGCGGTTGCAGGATCACCGTTGCTTAATTTGAATCGTATTTTATTTTGCAGTATATTTTACAATATATAGTAAATATCTCTCTCTAATTCAGTTTAAAATTTGTTTTGTAATTAATTTGAAATTTATTTTGTTCGATGTCTTGTACCATAGTGTATATCATATTTTAGTAATGTTTTTAGGCACGGGTCTCAAATGCGTAGCCACCTCCGCATGGCGAGACCTGGTAATTGGCATTGTTTGACAAAGATGAACTTTTCGAGATTTGCTTCCATAAATTCTATCAAAGTATCTAAAGATTTTCCAACATAATTCATCTTTGACAAACGATGCCAAGCTAAGAGCTACGCTCAACTGTTTAGTGGTCGCCGTGCCATAGGTATCAGACTACTTAGGAAGACAGAAACTATAGCCAATTGAATGTTTTCGAGTCACCGAATTACTCAGATATAGATATAGGTTATGCTTCGTAAGAGGTACCTCTTAACAAATAATTTTGTCGTCTTTAATTTGCAAATATCGTGTACATGTAGTACAGTAATTATATAAAAAGGAATCTCGAAAAGAACATGTTCTGTCTCTAAAAGACACGTGTCCATTTTCAGGAACACAGTTACCATAGGATCTGTCATTTGCAGCAAAGTTGACAATTACTTTATATCAGACACGAGAAGGTTGATTTAAAATTCAAATCGCGTCAATTGTCTCCACATTAACATCATTTCCTCTGCAAGCGTATCATTGGCAAGTTGTTCAGTGTTTCCCCACGCTACCGCGTTAATGGCGCTGCAGTCGATTCCAGCGAGGTTACGGTGGGCAGACCGTGGACAGCTAATTTGCATGTTTGTTCGCAAAAATAATAAACTGTACACATACGCATGTGAAAACGTTGATCGTGAAACATGGCTCGAACAATTTGGAATCCAATTTGAAATACGAAAGTGTATTTGTGTAAGGTGTGCTTTCTTAAGGCGTAATATGGCGGACTACAGACAACGGTGCAACAGTGACACATACACAATATTACGTACCTGTGAAGTAAATAGGCCTGGACAGGGCTGCGCGTGTGAAGGAATGTGCAGAAGAGAAAAGTGCGTTAGTGCGGCAAGGTTAGGCTGTGCGCGCGCGCGCACGCGCGAATTGGAACGTGCTGTTACGTGATACAACTCTGTGAGCGAACAAAAGTCGAGTGACGCGTGAACGGCCGCGTGGATGAGAGAAAAAGAAGGGTAGGGAAAAAATAAACGAATGATGCTGAATGACGCGGTACCGTCACGTTGAACGATAACGAAGATGTAACGAGATCGCGCGCGGCCTGGATTACGAAGAATCGTACGCCGGTAATTAGACCGTTCAAGCTCGCTTTCCGCGTTGACAGTGCTGAAAACTTTGCTCATTAACGCGAGCCTCGTTTTACTTTTTTCCTGCCAGCTTTTGGCTTTTATTTTTAGCCGAAACTCTGAGCCACGACGATTGAAATCGAATCACGTATAACACGTTTGGCGCTGCGACGTAGGCGATGACGAATCGTCATGCGAGTGATTGGTATGAAACTAGCTGAATAAACACTGATACTCATGAAATACGAGTTCTTCTCGATAAAAAGGAATGTACGTATGTATATACGATTAATACCCTTGGCAAGTGTCGTTGAGATGTTGCTCTGATTTCCTTTAGCCGATTTATGAAGATAACATTATCTACGAAATGATAGTCTTCTTGTTTGATAATTCGTATGGACAGCTTCATATTCATAAACGCTAAGAATTTTAAAAAATTGCTATTCTTTTTGTAAGTAACATAATCTCAATTCTGAATAAAGAACTAGCGAAAATAAAAGACCACTAAATTCGTTAAAATGGCGGATTTCAAAATTATTGCAAACATGTAATTATTTTCAGAGAAATTAATGTTATCAATTATTGAAACAGATGTATAGTTATGCATACCTATTTAGTTCATCACACAATCTTCATTACTATTATTATTATAATGTGCTAAATTTTAGCTTAGTAAATATAGATATTATAAAGTTTCCGACACCCCAATTAACGGAAGTTTCATAGCAACAAATTCAGAAAAATAATTTTCTAAAATTTATCAGTACTAGTGTTGTCGGACCCAGGAAGCATCGAGGCTAGCTCCGCGACACTTGAGGTAATACGTAATGTAACACGTGTGTACATGCGCATGGACACAAGGATTAGCCTGTTGACTACGATTACGTTAGAATTAACCAGGAGCTTCGGTAAACGGTGTGAATTACAAACGAAGACCGTTTCCCTTCGGTGCACGGGGAGCAGCAGTCGATATTTTCCGTAATAAGCGGTGATAATTGCTTAATTAAAGCAAACCGTGAAACGTGCAATGCGTTCCTGTCAGTGCCAGCCGCGTCCATCCCGTATCTTGGACGACTTTACCGTCCAAGCGTACATTCGTTGCAGTTATTGAACAATCCACCGGCATTGTTCGAGTGTTGGAAACACCTGTAACGCTCGATTACAAAGTCAATAGCCTCCGATGACGAGAAATATGTCCGTTGCGACATCTCGTGACTCACCGATGAGTTATTTCCGAGCGTTCATTGGTCGCGATACGAAAGAACTACGAATACGATTTCTTTTCTCCTCGATATCCTATCTATAATTGTATACACACTGACGAAACATATATCCTTCACACATATTTTTCATACATGTAAATATTTGAAATATTTCGCGGCCATTTTAAAAATACATTAAATTTTCTCTTTATTAGAGGTTAGTTTTACGAAAGTTCATCGACAGGGGAAGAATTATAATAATTCGTTGATATGTATATACGAATAACAGTTTTCACGGATATTAAAGTAATTTCGTCGTACATAACCTCATTTTCTTCCACAAAAACACGGTATCCTATTCCGTTTTGAATATACTTATCTCATAAACCTTCCACTAAGTTATGATATCAACGTTGCGCATTACATAATTAGGATTCCACTGTTTTTAGATAATTTGTTGTTTGTAAAATCCACCATCGTAGGCTAGGTTAGCGATGTGTGCAGTACCGGTTATTGATAATAGTATCGGCGGATTGGCACGGTTGTCAACAACGGTGTCCGATCGTAGATTATAATCGTTTGTCAGTCAATCTTTTATTTCGTTTCTACGCAAATCGTTTTATATGGTACACGGCATAATGCTAGCTGGAGGCAACGCGTCGCCCGCATCGAGTTAAAATCGATTGTTGCCACGATGACGGTCCGCGCGACGTCATTGACTGCGGCTCAAATCGCATTGTGATCTGTGATGGATTACCGTTTATATCGAAGCGTACATCAAATCGAAATCAATTTTCTTTCGCGATCGCCAGAATTATCTTCGTTCAATGCATCCAGTGAACCGTTGATGCCACGTGAATACGGAAAATCGCGCAACTTTAGGAGCATTGTGGTTTCTGATGGATCCCAAATATCGTTTCGCTACGACGAAAATTAATAACACTTGGTCCAACGCTGCTTAATATGTAACAATTTCAATATTCCAGCCAAATACTATTTTTTATCATCCCTTTTGTACAAGATGTGACCAATGTATAATGCTATCATACAAAATAGAAAAAAAGAGATATCATTTAACCTCTAAAATTCAGGAATGTTCAATCTCTTAGTTTTTCTAGGCCACATTGGAAGAAAACAAGTTGACTTGTGCGAAAAAGGAAGAAGGAACGTAAAATGTATAGTTAACATATGGAGGTAATTTAAATTTCATTAATTTATGATTTATTTTGTTATAAAGTTAGCAATATGGAATTAGTTTAACATCTGTTTCATACATCTCTATTTAACATTTTACGTATAAAATTAAGCTACATTGATACTTGCTTGGAGTTATTTAAACCTAAACAGTAATTAAATATTATTGTCCTAACTTGAAATCAATTTTCTTTTTAAATCAACAAAATTGGAGGAACACATTGTGTTCCTCACAATGGCGTTTAAATTTAAATTCATTCCACGTCAAACTCAATATCGTACACCTCAATAGCAATTAAAAATTTTTATTTAAATTTGAAGTCAACGAAATATATCAATAGTCGTCACAGTGGCATCTGAGCTTAAATCCAGTTCACGTCAAATTCAATATCGTACATCGTGTATCCCCGCACTTTCAGCGACGCTACACTCTGCATCCAATTTCCAATTAATGCAATTTCTCTAATCCCTTACTTCTATCGGGAACTGCTCAAGTTGACGAGGTTAAAATTGCCGAAACTCGTTTCGTCCCGAACAGAGGGACTTCATCGTTCAGTGAACGCTTATTTATTCGCACGTTTAATTCTACAGGAGCACCGATAGGACACCGACAAAGTGGAAGTTTAGTCAATCGCCACTAACCAATCGCGGATCGCGCTGGCCATCGCGGACAAAGGGGCGAACCAGGTTATCCCTCGACTGTGGATAGAGTTAGTCAGACGCCGGCAAGGGTGCACAAGGTGGCCGACAGTGACTTGATGCGGTTAGCGATTCGCGCTGCTAACTCGATTTGATGCTCTAATGCCTTCGTCACGTCCGACGTTCCCGCGTATTCATGTAAATACGAATTATTTCCTGGCAGGCGCTGCGGTCGCGACGTTCGTTGACCATTGCAGTTCCGTTCGAGGATTCGTTCCTCTTGCTTCGCGCAAATTTATTTGTGGCTCACAGTTGGAATTACGATGATAGTGTTCGAAATATAATTATATTACACTGGAACATTTTTAACTATGGTAGAATAATATTCGTTGTTATGTAGGTTATTAACGGGGAAGAAGTTAGGTTGTTACGGTGGAGAAACGTTCATGATTTTTTGAAGTATTAAATACATGATTGTTTAATTTAGTTTTTGCGTATAATATAGATTGCAATTTTTCGAAAGATAAATTTATTTTATTCGAGTAATCTATTAGGGATATTTCAAATAGGAGTTGGTTAAATCTTGTTCTGTTTTTAGGAATATTGTGCAAAAATAAAGTTGCTTCTGTATTATTTTATGACAAGTTGCTCCTATAATACGCAAAACTATATTGAAGAATTATATCGAAGAAACTGGCAATTTTGCACAAAATAGGCGAGGAAAAGTAAACCGGGTTAATTAGAGGAGTCAAACTTCCAAATGTAGTTTAAATCAAAAGTAAATTTGTAAAAACCGAGTTGGAGATTTTGCTTGCTTCACTATGAAAAACTGGGTTATACACTTGGTTTACAGCGAAAAATGTGCAGCTCGAATCGAAGCACCGTGTTTCGGATAATTCGAAAGAATCCAGAAGAAATAAAATATTGAAATGAAGAATTTTTCTATCACCGAGTATTCCTGCACGATTCCAAAACTTTTTTTGAAACACGTCACCAAATAATTTTGAGCGGATTTATAACACAAAAGGCTGTCTTTAGTGGACGAATAAAAAAAAGGTTCTAAATAATTGATCAAGATCAGGTTCAATTTCAAAGACATTATTCACTTTTAATTCCACATGGAACTTACAACTTTAGAGGACCTAACTTAACCTCAGCACCTAACCTCAAAAAGCTAGAACAGAAAACACGAGGATCCTCATGAGTCGTCCGAAATATGTTAAAATCTAAAATCCAAGCACACTTCCAGCTCTATTGATCTTCCCCAAGGATCACCCCTTATCACCTTTGCACCCATGTTCGAGAACTATCACGACAGTAAGAATCTGGTTTCTCGATGGTAGCATTTGATATGGTTTAGCCTGTTAAAGTTTCCATAGACGAGGAACAGGGGGATCCTCTATTTGGTTTTGTCGAAACGTATAACGATTAAGCTCGATATTAGGTTACCACGTGCCCGTAGATTTTCAGGCTGGAACGAAGCGGAAGAAGTGCAACGGTAACGATAATGGCGAACACGGACTATTGGCATAGTTTTCAAGTGGTGCTTAAAATTATTCCTATTTCGAGAAGCCTGGCCGCAATCCAGGCTGTCTCCTATCTTCCAGATAAGGTCCATCGTTTAAATAACAAAATAAAAATGATAGGAAGAAAAAGGGAGAATGAAAGGAAGATAAAAAATGGAAAAAAATAGAAGAAAAATATTTTATTCCACGATCGATCGATACCACTGCGTATGACACCCTTTACTTCTCTGTTCGTTTTTCGTTTTCCCTGTAATTTATACGTTTTTCCAACGACCGTATTTCACATTAAACTGCCGGGCCAATGGATCAGATGTGCCGGACTCGTTCAAAGATGCGGCCATTGGCCGCATTATTTGCAATTTAAATAATCCGACAGATCGGTAATTAATCGTCCGGTTCGACAACATTTTTCCCGCACGAATAAGCTAATATCGGCCGGTCTGGGATTTACATTGGTACGCGAGCCGAATGGACACACGATGGGCACAGCTAAATTTTCTAGGACAATCGTGCCAATCGATATCATATTTGTTGGCTCGCGGCTTCGTTTCAGGAAATTAAATTCTGCAATCCGGGCCCACCGTTGGGGCACACGTGTTCTTTGATTCACCGCCTTAATTGCCCGCCGTCTTTTTATTTCCACGGTAATTGGAACGGTAATAGGGAATTTTTGCGCAGAACGACCGCGAATCTCGACGAGCGGGATGTTTTTGAAACGTACACATGTGCGAATGGTTTCAGGTATAAAATTTTGATGGAAAATTGAAAGTAGCGATTGCGACATGGAGCTATAATAGAATTCAAATTGTTCGTTTTCCTTTTTCCAGGGAAATAATCATCAAAAAATTCCCAGAATGATTCAAGCTTTGTAATACATTTAGTTGTTTGTTAATGTTCTTTATTGATTAAATAACACATTGCACGTGATAAAATACTATGAAGTACTCGTCAGTAAAGTTTCACTAATCTTACTGTACAATATTGCTTCGATACCTGATTTTTAATTAACTTTTAATTAAAATGTTATTACAATTTTCAATTAAAAATGTTAATATATTGCAATGTTAGAGAAAAGTCCTTTGAATATGCTTTAACTTCGAATCCACTTCCAATTGCTCAATTCTAATCTCAATTACCGAATATGAAAAAGGCTAACCTCGAAAACGTTCTTGCATGCACTAAAATTTTGATTCAAAAATATAAGTATATTTTGACAGCAGAACAATTGCTATTGGAGATTATTTTACGTAGTGTGAGCGTCATCTTGCTACTCGTAATTCGAGTTTGAATCTTCGGCGCTATATTGCCTGTCGGAATGTCCCTGCGGTCTAATGGAGGCATCTCGTGGCATCTATTAGCAAATGGTTCCCAACGGTCAGCGCTTGCCCGCGTTAACCCCGTACTCGCCACCGTCAGAAAGACGATTGATATTACATTAGATCAGCGCAGTCTAATATAGGCCAGCCGAAAACCGCGTTACTGAATTTCCTGGTCATCGGGGACTCGGCACAATTACGTACCTCCGTTGACGTAAACTTCCTGGATGTGCATTAAATGCGAGTACATAGTCACCGAACCCTTCCTTCTTCACGCGAGTTGAAACAACGAAACTTCCTATGCAACAAATCTATAGCGAATATCCATGAACTTCATTTTGATCGCGAGTACCTTGTTAACCTCTTTTCCAAATCACCAAACCATTTCGTAGTGTTTCTTTTTCTACCTTCTACCTCTATACCCTATCATACACATGACTACATGTATACCGGAAGGAAAATCTCGAAAATAGTTTTAAGGACATTTAGATTATGGTGATTTGCGTGAATGCATCGCGAACAGAACATTTTATTGAAAATCATAGCTGATTGTTATTTCTGTAACACACAGTAAATTGCAAACAGCTAACGGAAGTAATGCCGTCAATGGCATCTAGCGGCGCCATTTGAAACGCTAGATATCCGTCTGTTATGTACTAAGAGGTTAGAGTGAAACGTTTCATTACGGTTACCTGTTGTGCCTGAAATGCCAAACACGGCCACCAATAGGTAACATCAAACAGACCTTTCGACTACCCCGCAAGTACCCAAGCATCGAGCCCAAACACCCTTCCTTGGCCTTCGCGTCTTTCTTCCCCCAGACGTAAAATTGATTCCACAATTTCTCATTTCACGGTCCGAAAATAAATCTAAGCAATTCTCTAGCAGGACATGGGGTCTGTGGTCTAACCGGAGGCGGCACACGCACCAGCAGATACCCACATCCGGCCCATCGTCGCTCACGTGTCACTGATACGTCAGCGTTGAGAAGTTTGATCCAGCGATCCGCTTTAACGGGCATCCCGCGCGCCCGGAGGGCGAACACTCTGCCGAGTATCTGTCTTCGCAACGTCGCGCCACCTATGTACCTAAGCTCATGTACGCGACCTCAGGAACGAACGTTACATAGGCGTCCAGGGTGGTAGGGTCGGGTCTTAATCCGCGCCGCTAATTCCAGCGGAATCTACGCGTAATGCGATCACACTTCGGCAAGCAGAGGCAATGGCTGGCGGAGCAGCAAATTCCCGGACGAAACGATCCGTAGTGGCGTGCTCGATCTTTGCCCGCTTCTTCCCACGCCCCTGGTCCCGCTCCTCACGCCGTCGTTGTTTCGCGATATCGGCAGACGACTAATTGGTAGCCGGGGCTCCAGCGTCAACGAAACACCCGGCCAAACGAGATCCGGCGAAATTTCGTTTAAAAGTTTGGCAAGCAGCCTCACCACGACGCCGAGAACTCGCCGTCGGAGGCGGGAACTCGAGAAACCGCAAAGCTACTTTCTCATCTCCGTGGTAACGCTAAAACTGCGTTACGCGGCGCACCGAGGAAGCTGCTGAACGTCGTTCGCGACCAGGCCAGGCCTAAATACCCACGGCATTCCAAAACAATATAGCCGCTCAGCTAACTTCTACGCTGACCTACGTTCTAACTAGCCCGGCCTCGCTACTCGCAACTGCTAACTCGGTTACCCTCGAGGCGCTACACCCGTTGCTCTTCATCCCTGTTATCTCTCTCTCTCTTTCTCTCCATCCAAAGGGAAGGGAGCTTTTTCGAGATCCTTGGTCGCGTTCGAAGAGTCTCTTCCTCAGCGACACTCAGCGCTGTTACGCCAACTTCGTAACCGGCTACATCGACGAGAGTCGACGCCACTGGATCAGACAACAATGAACTTAACTCTCAAAATCGAGAGTCCCTTGGTTATTTAATGAGCCGACGCATAAGGCAGTTTGTCGATTACGACGCTGTTAGCCGGCGAAACGGTGGCGCTGCCATCTCAAACGTTTGCTTTTGCCTCAAGATCTCCCCCGCTCTCACCTACGGCCGTTTCGCGGAGCGTCGCAATTACCGTGCCCGGAACCATGCAAACCAGAAATTCGAGTGTAATTATCGTTGTGTTAAAGATCGACTCGGAATCCGATCCTCGTGGGAAATTGACGGATGACTTCTCGAGCTTTCTTGGTCCTAACCTCACCACGAAGACTTTTCTCGTCTCATCCGTTTGAAATAACCATTGATTCGTATGCTACTGAATTTTTGAACAAGAGGCTATACATTATGCTGAAATTCGTTAGGTCGGAAGTTTGAATTCGCTTGCCCTTTTTAGTTCCCACAAATGACGCCGTTCATTACGACCACAAACCCTTTTTCTCGTCTCATCCGTTTGAAATAACCATTGATTCGTATGCTACTGAATTTTTGAACAAGAGACTACATTATGCTGAAATTCGTTAGGTCGGAAGTTTGAATTCGCTTGCCCTTTTTAGTTCCCACAGATGACGCCGTTCATTGCGACCACAAACCTTTGGAAGGTTATTTTCAAACGTTAAATGTTCATTCGCATTCGTTATGCAAGGAAGAACTGAGCAATATACACAGGCAGGAAAATGTACAGTTATTAAGAATTTTCTAATCATACGTCAATTGTACAACAACTTTTATTTACAGTAAGTTTGAATTGTGAAGCCATGTATGTACAAGTTCATTTGCTATCACGAAAAGTGTCAATAACAATCACATTGTATCCAAAATGGACTCCAATTAGATTATCATTATCTTCACCGTTAGTGTATCAGTTTTAGGAATCACTGTCATTCGTATGACAGTGATTCTATCCGACATGGAAGAGCGCACCGAGTTCGTATCGAAGCGGGACAATAGCTCGATAAAAATCGCTGATCCTTCCGGTCGCGCGTCGAACAGGGTGACTATTAATATTAAGCTTTTAACGAGGAACACGTTTACACGAAACCCGATTTAACTCCGGCCAGGGGCTCGATACCAACCGGTAATCCTGTTAGTCTGGTAATCGTATTTGAGGCACGGATCGTTAACTTATCGCTCCGCGGGAGATTTTACGTTGCGATTTCCGGGACCGGTTGCGCTCGCGGCAATCAATGAATTTATCTGCGCGCAACTATCCCGTGTTTCAAAATGTGCGCGGATTTTCTAACCTTATTACTCTCCATACCCAAGGATTTCCTAACCTCGTCGTTACGGATCCATTAGCTCCTTCATCCACCGTTTACGTACAATTTCTCGCGTCCATATTCTCTATAACTATAACTAACTGTCCGTTTATTAACCTACGAGCAGTTCTAACCTAACTTTCCTCGACACTCGATCGCTAGCATTTTCTAACCTCCATATATTTTTTTTGATACGATTGTGGGACTTATAAGGTCTCGACACTCGTGACTTACAATTTCGTAGGATTTCTAGTCTCGTTTTACTCGACATAGTCGTTCAAGTTTCCTAACCTCACTCTAGATACGCGTACACTTTCGACCACGCGCGATGTTAACGGATTCGACGGCAGATGGAGCGACTGCATGCAATGGAGGAAATAATACAACGAACGGTGTGCATGATGCAATGACAGGCAATGAAGATGGCGCGAGAAACGAAGGAATATAGCAATGGATGTGTCGACTTACCATTGGTGAGATGCATACGAGAATGCTCGTCCGGGAAGACGGTTTCGGAACGATCGCTGGCCGTGGAGCTGCTACTCAAAGCACTAGTGTGACCTCGTCGCGTTCGTCGCCCTAAGGTCCCACCACCAGTACTCGTCTTTTTCGATGGCGCCGCATAAACCGTTTCACCTGCGGTGTATCAGAATCGTTGGAATATCTTTGGATACATTAGAATATCTTTCGGAAGTCTCTCGGCAGTCAAAGCGAGTGGAATTTAAAGATGGTACAAGCTTTTCGAGGGATGTATAAATTTTCAGCGATCGGACCATTTATTCAGGTAGTCTTTCACGGGATGATAAATAAAACTCGATTTCGTCTTCTCTTTTCTGACATAACAATAGGTCAATTTTTAACATTAAACCCACCATGACTGGCCAACGAGGAAATAAAATCACTGCTCTGCACTCGAGTGGTGATATCAGATATATACAATAAGCGAACTAAAAGTAACTGCACGTGAAATATTGAAACGAAATGCACGCAATTCTTTAATCATAGTTTAGCACAAATTTGAACTGGTATACAACGAGCTTAAAGCTCAGAATTGTTATACTTTGTAGCAAAAAGACCAACTGAATTCAAAGTCAGAAGCTCGTAATTCAAATACACGTGTACGGATTCACGGTGTCTTTCTAAAAGTATTTTTGAATAGACTCGACCGCTAGTTTTGCTATGCTCGCTACATCAATCCTGCCGATCCAGCAGAAGGTTAATATTTACAAGAGCCAGGACGATGTATCGAGAATGTTATTCCGAACCACGTAGCGAGCGTTTCTCTTGCATTAATCAAGTCGGCCAGGTTGACTCGCAACATAACAACGGGACTCGTCTCGTGGCATTTGTAAGTATCATCTTCCCTGCGAGCGCGAGCGCGCACGAGCGAACGTAACACGCTCGCGGCTCTAATTAACTCCGCACCGTTGCCGTTGCGGGATCTCTCCGATGATATGCTCCCGTTGTAATGATGCCGGCGGGAGTTGGTGTTCTCTAGGGGAAACGGAGACGCCTGTCGATGATTCGGCGTCAAGGTTGGAGGCGGCGTTGGGAACGGCGTTGTCGGGTTATCGGTGGTCGCAGCGCCCTCTGTGTCGGAACCTGTGCGATACGATCGGTCACCAACACCTGTGAACATAAATTTTCCGCCATTTTAGTATTCCAGATATACGTAGATTAAAAGTGATCAAGAATTATCGAATTAATTCACAGTCTAGTAAGTATATGTGTATATAATATAGTAATATATGCATACTATATTGTGAAAACATAAATGTAACAGTGCTGTCCTGGTTTCAAAGGCTGCAAAATCGTTTTCATTTAATCGAAATTAATTTAACATATGAATGCCAATACTGTAAATGGTATTATAACAGTGAATAAACTGTTTATATAGAATTTTGGTTTATCAAAGTACATATATTATAGTGTACCATCATCCTCGAAAACAGCTTGGGACCTCTAAATAAGGATACAATATCATAATGGTCGGGACATATTTCAGGGAGATCATTAATTTTCTTCGCGCCAAAACAAGTAATCAAGCCCCCTTCCCTTCAATTTCCTTTCCTACCATCAATCCATTAACTCATCGACAAAGGGTCGCCTGTATCCTCAGTGGACCACGTCGAGCCTGTCCCAACGCGTCTGCTCTTAAACGGCGGCCTCATTGTCATTGGCTTGTCCATCGAATCGAACGAGTGTCCGACGCGTCGCTCACTATGCAAATATGATTGTTCAAGATCGTGCCGGGATGTAAACGTGGCCGTCGAACGACGGATCAGTGACTCCTGATTTCATCGCATTTCGGAACACCTACCTCGTCCTGTGGGCTCTGGTCATCGACACAGCTTGACGCACGTCCCGGCGTGTAGGAGGGCGTACGTTCCAGAGCCGTCTCGAGAATGGCGTGCTCTCGCGATATGGCCATCATTTCATTTTACTACCGCGTTACTCGCCGAGCTTCGACTCACCTCTGTCCTTGTCAGACATTCTTTTGTAGTGTCCACAGGCAGCTTGCACAGGCACTTCGACGCGCATCGTTGCCCTGGCTCGCATTCGCTTAAGTCGTCCGTTGTGAAAATAAGTTCTTCGTGTCGCCGTGGCGCTATTGTCGCGCGCGTGTTCTGTACCCGTTATGCATACTCCAGGTATCATGGTAACATAATGGATATATAAAGATATGCGAAAAATAACTGGTCGGTTTGCTTAACAATTTTTCATTTGTCATGGATGGGTTGGATATATTTTTGCTACTTATTCTTTCTAAACACATAGTATCTCTGATGTGGAGTTGACTAGTAAAAGAGAGAGAGAGAGAAAGAGAGAGAGAGAGAGAGAGAGAGAGAGAGACGTAGTAAGGTGCAATAATGATTGATTATGTTTGCTGTATTTGCAGGAAGGTGCAGTCAACGTTGTTAATAAAATGTTATCCTTGGAAAATGTTCCAAATTGCTTAAGGACATTTGCATACCCTATATTACACTTTGTGACGTCGAATGGCAATGCCACAATCAATTAAGTAAAATACCTTAATACCTCCTCAAAGCTCCATTTCCTTAAACCTCAAATCCTATTTACATAATTCATTGGCAACGCCATCTATCGATTACAAGCGTCAACTACATAGGCGTACCAAAACATCAGGAACGAGAAGATTTATTCTACCAATAGCGAATACAAGAACAATGTTACCTACTACGAATACGAATCAAACGATAGGATTAAAACAAAATGCAAGTAAGTTTTGAATATTGAGCACCGAAATGGGAGAGATTAGCTCGATTTTAATAGCTGACGAACTAACGTTTATTAGGCTATCCATTTAGAAATATGAAAATTGTAAGAAAAATAAATCATACGTCACTCTCAATTGCAGTTGCTACGAATCATTCCAATTTCACTCGAAACGTTACTGGTGACTCGCACGACACGCGTCACATACCGTCGTATCCTGTTTACGCGCAGGCATCCTGTACGCTACCGATTGGCTGTGACAATCGGCGCACATCACAGCAGCAACGGTTCATCACGTCGGAATATTCTTGTCGACGATGCTTGACGGTCCGTGACGCGAAAATGACAGTATGCGTGGCTCGATTCAACGCCAATTCAACGACACCTTGGTGTCGAACGAATTCGTACCTTTCAGCAGGCACGATTCTGTTTTAATCCCAACCACATTGCAGATTGATCTTGACCTTATTCATCGATATCGAGTTACACAGACCTTTCAATCCTCATTTGTCATCGTGATTCTATTGGATACTATGTGTATTCGATTTTTCTGCGACTAGTGTACGGTGTGGCCACTAGATGGCGCAGGTGAGTTCTCGCATCATACGCCGAGACTAGCCGTTCTTGATTAGGTTAGTCTGTATTATTTTAGAGCTATTTTAAAATGATAAGGTACCAATTTACAAAATGACAAAGAGAAATTTGTAGGCAGTATATTAATAATTCATACTTAGATTACTGAAATCTTCTTTACCAGAGAATATTAAAAGTTGCGTAATGTGATTTATAACTCTACCACAATTCAAATGACGGAAAATATCACCGCGAGTAACAGTATAAATTATAATAATTTGATTAATGAGGCACTTGTGAATGAAGTAAAAGGTTTCATAGGAAGTCGGGAATCAGAACTGCGGCGCGTAATAAAGTATTCCGGATATCTCAGGTTGGCTAATCCGAGCTGTAAAGTAGAAACCGTTCGAAAAACAGGATGGTTGTGTAAAAAGTTACGGTGGATCGGGGGAATGCGAGGATAAGAATAGCGGCTCGTTGGCTGGATTAGGAGGGTGTTTAGAGCACAGTGTTTCGATAGCCACGCTCCTCTTTGTCAGTGAGTAAAGAGGTGCGAGACTACGTGGTGGAGTACTTAAAAAGATCACCTGGGGTTCTTCTTATCTCTGTTCGCTATTTAGCCACTCCATGACGCAACAGAAGCAATTCGAAATTACGGCAGAATTGTGAACTATAATAGACATGACGTTTTAAAGCATTTCCCTGACATAGTGAGAGCTTAATGTCCACAAATTTTAATGATAGGAGTATACTGCAACCTGCTTTCTAAGTAATATGTTCTAATATTTTGGTGGAAATTCTTTCACGATCTAAATATAAAATAAAAAGGAATAAATAATAGTTAAGAATTACATACAACAAATAAACAAATTCTCGTACATTGGTTAGCTGAAACTAGTCTACTCGAATTCGGTATAGACAAACTTTCCGTACCATCGATTATTAATAAGCAAGAATAAAGGAGCTTCTAATCACTCATAGATATAAATGAACTATAATATCATTGTACGAAAGTCTAAGAAAAAGATAGACATGTTTAAGATTGCCTTTACATATGCTGTAGCCATGACTATGGACAACGTAGTTAGGCATTCGGCACACTAGCGCCACCGCGCAATAACTCCTGCCGCCAGCCAACTTACGAACAATTCTCAGTTCGCCTTTCTTCTCGACTAATGCTCGGTCATCGCTTGTTGACTCAACCGAAAAGCGACACTGATATTCGTCTTGTTAATTGGCGAATAATTGCCTGTTGGAAGAGCGCGCGACCTAATATACTATTAAACTTCCTTCCACCGCGAAGGACAAAAGGGTAGCAAGATAGCAGGAAAAGGTGGGCGACGCAAAAGGGCGGGAGGGTGGAGTTTAGTATGGAAGAGATGAGGGGATTGAATCTTGTCGGTAATTAATGAGGAAAGTTTTACAAATAGCCGAAGGCATCGTCACTAAACGCCTTAGCGAGACCGTGAATTCCATCCGCAAGCAAAATATCCCGCGAAAGTTAGTTTTTAATTGATAATTATCTTTCCCGGTATAAACGGTAATCAGCATTCCATTCCGTTTCCCTGTCCACCTAATTGCTCCTTATTCCTGCCGTTGAATGGTCGGTGGGCGAAAGGGAAACTCAGAGAACGTGAATTTGGAGAACTATAAATAATAGCTAAAAGGCTTTGCAGGTATACGCCTGGTCTATTCAAGGGGTAGTTTCAAACGCTGTAACTTTGCGAAAAAAAATCACAGGTGCCTAATTTTTCTTTTAAATTGAAGGAGAAAGTGCAATCATCTGGCAGCTATAAATAGCATGTTTGGAAAAAATTTGTCCGAGTCTGTGCCTTTCGTCAAACTTGAAAAATTAAAATACGACAAACATACCTTCACGTTTAAAAAGTTATAACGATGATCGTATATTGTACCTACAATCATGGCCTATTATCTTGAAGCAGATCCTTCAAGATTCATGCTGAAATACAAATTTCCTGGCTACGATGATTTTCCACAATGTCATCTTCAGTCAAATTTGGCCAATTTCTGTCAAATGTGTATAGAAAAATTAAGAATTTAATTATGAACACGATTCGGGAAAGCGAAATTATTCCACGACCTTCCGAGTTGACAGGCGCCACATAGAGATTCTGATAGTGGTACGAGGTAAAGCAACAAACCCCAAACTTCGGGGCCTCGTGGAAACCAAAATCCCGCCTCCACCAATTCACCGTCACCTTGCCTATTTACCATCCATTGGTTACACTTAATTCCCCTCATTCGCCGACAATTCCGCGAAACCTCAATCCCCACTCTACTCCACCTCCACCTCATCCCTACTCTCAGCCACCAGCAGCGCTCACCGTGCTTCGCCCCAACGCGACAACGTAACGGGTTCGTTCTCGCGACATCAAAGATCAGAAGCGGAGCATGGAACCCGGCGAAGAAGGCGGAGTGGTCGCGATATAAAGAGAGATACGGGCAAGATGGGCTGCCCGATAGTCGAGACGTCTGAGAGAGCGAGTAGCCGAGGGCCGGGGCAGCGGCGCTGATATTGCTCGCATTAAACTTTCATATTCAATCTTGCCACCCACCGTTGGGCTCTTTC